CGTGAATGGAGAGCAAAAAAATGGGTGGCTCAAATTCGAAAGCCGCGCCGTCTCTAAGCAGAGACTGAATTTAAATGTAAATATTTGGGTCGATCTGCATCAACCACTGCGGGATAACCGCGTACTGTACACACGTTTCCAACTGCTAGATATTAGTAGTATAAATTGATGTTTTGATTTACCATACTGGCAGCCCAGACACGTGTTTCACCGGTATTCTGCCGCTGCTTGACCGAGCTGCGAGGGGTCCAGCTCATCAGTGGGTCCCCCAGCTCTTTCCCGTTTGCTTTCTGGTTGATATACTGGTTTTGGAAATTTAGCTTTTGAAGTTCCTTAGAAATTAATTTGTTTTCGCGGTTGGATTAGTTGGCAGGACTGATTATAGAGGCCCAAAAATCCTGTCTACTCATAATAAAAAACTACTTTTACATGTTCAGTAGCCCGACTTTGAACTTTTTCGTTAAATTCAATCAATAGGAGGACGAATTTCCATTTCTGTTAAATTCCGCCTACATAAAGTCAATTTCCCTTAATTGGCATTCGTAACCTGCGCAACAGAAGTTCGTGTTGATCGAATTTTATTTTCTATTTAAGCATATTAAAGCAAATATAATATTATTTAATTTAATATTTTTGGTTACTTCCGCTACAATTGCACATTGATTTAAGCTCACTAGCCAAGAATTAAATGTTTGACCACAAAATACGTTAAGCAGTTGGGCGGGAGGGAGGATAGATATCTAGAGGTGACCTACAAATTGGTTTTGCCGATTAGTTTATTCAGTGTCTATAAACCTAGACCCAAATTTTATACATGTATTTCGGCCGTACTCCATCAGCCGCTGCGGGATAACCGCGTAATAGGCACATGCTGCCAACGGGCAGACAGTAGTATAAATTGATGCTGTATTTACCATACCGGCGAAACACGTGTCTCAGCTTCGAGCTGGTACCAGTGCTGCCAGTATGGTAAATGACAACATAGAGTTATTTCCGACTTCTTCAACCGTCGTCCGGCAGCCCTATCCAAAAACAATAAAGTTAAAGTACCCCCATGACTGGTTTCCTACTCAGAGTCGCAAGTATGACCAGCCAAAGCAACACAAATAATCACATAAAATGCGTCTTTCGGCATAGATTCGCCGGCTCGTTATGTGACCGTCAGTGAAGGCGCAACTGGAAGTCCATGTCCTGTAATCCGATCGGTTAAGCACGCACTTCCGAGGTGGGATGTAACACTAGCCGGCTAATTGTCTGACTTGGTCGAATTACAGGCCACCAGAACCACTGCCCTAGCCGTTGCCAATGAGTTTACCAAAGAAAAGTGGGCTTGTCACCATGTCACCTTGTCACCTGCTGTGTGGCAAGCCAACAACAATGCAAATCGCGAGAACAATAGACGCGTGATTGAAGGAGAAGGAGGCCAAAAACGGATACTTCTGTGGGTGGCGCACTGTCCACCCCCTACCGGCAGGCAGCTGCGATTCCCTGTGTTTATTTATAATTCGCAGGGAACATACGATTGTCCGGTTGTTGATTCCTTAAGACAGCGGCAACGCGGTCGACCTAGCGGAAAATTTATTCAAAACAAGCAACTCACCGTGAAAGGCAGCGTGTTTTTGTAGCATCCTGTTCAAATTGGTTAATATTTTGTCCAATCCGCTTCAAGAGAAGGTTCTAGAAGAGCCGTGGAACTTCTCGCGGACATGGACCAATCAGATCTGACGGGGGGGGCGCTGTCGATCCCAAGTTCATGGCATGCGGCATTGAAGACGCGCGCTCGTGCTTTTCTGTGAGACTGACTGGTCGTGGGAATGGAAATCGCGGCACCGTTTTTTTTCAAATTTCATAATCTTGTGAAGAGGGGGTGTCATGAGTTGGTTTCTTTGTCAAGCATGCGGCTCACAAGCCGATCCTTCCGCACAGCGACCTTTGCATGCTCAGGCTGTCCTCCGCTCCGCCAGGTTCACTCCATCTTCAACTCGTCCATTATTGTCATCTTTCAGGTTGTCCACAGCAGAAGTCACAAATTGATGTGGTTTAGATTAATTAAAAACTTTCTATAACAAGTTTCCTCTTGAAAAATGCTTGAATTGGATATTTTGACGTCGAATGTCTGCCTGCTTCATCTTTTGCAAACGTTAAGTCAAGATAAAAACGCGACAGTTTGGTCGGTTTTGACCAAAAATGTGTTTTAACCCCCCCCCCGCCTCAAATCTTCATCTTTGCATTTCATCATTTAGACAATCTACCGTACCTGTTTGTAATATTCGCCCCCTCCCTCTTCCACCGGCAGGTTCACTGGTTCTCCATCTTCAACTCCTTCATGATGGTCATCTTTCTGGTGGCCCTGGTCAGTATGATCCTCCTGCGTACTCTTCGTAAAGACTATGCCAGGTACAACAAAGAGGACGCACTTGAGGACCTGGTAGGTGGTGGACAGCTTTCTCTCCCTGCCAACTGTCTGCTATTCTAGTGGCATTTTGTCATTGACGTAATACACACGCACCTGCGCTAGTGTCCCACGATTTCTCGCCGAGCGTTGTCCGCATTCGCTGTCGCGTGTCGATGCCCATTTCACGAGTATGCAGCGTCAGTGGGTCTCCATCCCCAGGAGCTGATCGATGGAAGCTAGGAGGAAGTACAGATGGAACCATGGCTGTTGGGTTTTGTCCCGAATGTGGACTTTGCTGCGTGCGTGTATATGTTACCCCCTCCGCCCCTCTTGGAAACTGCGAGTACTGGCTGGTCCCCAAATGCCGCTCGAATTGTTTGTTCGAGGTTGTCTCCTTTAGCGCTCTGGTTTAGTAGGTTAACCACAAGGCAGTGGTGCCAAGCGAACTTATTTAATGGCGGTTCACAGCCGCCATATCACAGTGCCGTAGCCAGGCTTTGCGAAATTTTATAGGCTTTTGATGTGCCGGACCTCAGCCAGCCGCGCCCTGGTAGCACTATTGCTGCTGATCCGCGACTGCTTATTTTGCAGCTTACCTTCACCGACGGCCTTTCCACAATCCGCCACCTGTAGACGCGCCGGGTAGCCAACAGCTACTGAAACCCGCCTTTCCGGCTCATGTCCAGGGGTATTGGAGTTAGGGCTGCGTTTAGGGTAGGGCTTTGGCTAAAGTTAGAGTTGAGGTTAAGAGTGTGCCGTTTGACTCGACTTCCTAGAATTTTGCACAAAACTGCAAACGGGGGTGGTGGGGAGAGTAGTTCCCATTCCCGCGTCTTGCCCTTCGGCCAATCAGGTTCCGCAAAAACCAAGTTCTAGTAAGCTCTATAAGTCACAGTGCGCACTGCGGCTTTGCAAGCAGTCATAGCATGCGCCATACAATCGCTCGGTCGTGACGGACTTCTACTTACATGAGCCTGACCTCAAGCTGCGCATTCTCGGGTGAGCTGTGCCAACCGTTGTGACCGCTTAAAACGCAGACAAGGGCAGACGAGGCTTTATCGCGCAACTGCACTGCTTGAGTGTTCATCCCCCTTTTTTAATGACACCGGCCTTTGGCGTGCGCGAGAGTCAGTAAGTCTAGCCCTCTTGCAACCGGCGTGTGCGCAAATAGCCTTTATGTCTCTTTAGCAGATGAAATAGTAGGAAGCCTGTTCTAGCAGGCCTGGTGCAACTGAGGCCCTTTTTGCAGTACCTACTTTCACTGCTGCTGCTGCTGCTGCTGCTGACCTTGGCAGATGGGCCCCTTACCGATTGCGTACAGGGCTTATTCTTTCCGTTCTGCCTTGGGACTCACTCTAGCAGAACGTGTTCACGCGTGCATCCTCATTCTGGGTCCTATCGAGCCATCTAAATCAAGCCAGACTGGTATTCACCGAACGTTCCTGCTTTAAGGGACACATATCGACCCATGACAAGGTGTGTGTAGGGGTCTAGGCCGTGATTGTGCCTAGATCACTACAATCATCAGGTCGAAATCCCTAGGTAGAAGGTAAAAGGCAAGAATCACCAAAATGAGAGGTTTATTGTATACAGAACTCTCAGTTGCAGTCTCAGGTGACAGTGGCCACTGGCGAAGCCAGGGCTGGTCCTGACTGCGTCCAGTCAGGCCTGTGAGTGTCGACTGTCTGATGTGTGGGGTGATGACGGCTGCTTTTACATGACTGTGGAGAGAGTTCAAGTGGTTTGCTATTGGTGTGTTGCAATTAGCCCGAGGGAATGTTGTCTGCAAAGGCCCCCTGCTGTGTTGGCCAAAGGGGTGGTGTGTGAAGTGGGCCTTAGGGAACC